CTCTGGGATCTCTCATTGGCACTGTACTGTGGTATATCTCTCTGGGACCTCACACTGGCACTGTGCTGTGGTATATCTCTCTGGGATCTCTCATTGGCACTGTACTGTGGTATATCTCTCTGGGACCTCACACTGGCACTGTGCTGTGGTATATCTCTCTGGGACCTCACACTGGCACTGTGCTGTGGTATATCTCTCTGGGATCTCTCATTGGCACTGTACTGTGGTATATCTCTCTGGAACCTCACACTGTCACTGTGCTATGGTATATCTCCCCGGGATCTCACATTGGCACTGTGTTGTGGTATATCTCTCTGGGACCTCACACTATCACTGTGCTATGGTATATCTTCCCAGGATCTCACATTGGCACTGTGCTGTGGTATATCTCTCTGGGACCACACACTGGCACTGTGCTGTGGTATATCTCCCTGGATTCTCACACTGGCACTGGTTTCAGCTTTTTACAGCCACTTCATTGCAGTCTAAACCATTAACTGGCTGTCCCGAGGCCATCCTAAAGAGAAAATCCACCTGTTTTGAAAGACATATAGCAAAATAACTTCATTTCAATGCTGTAAAAAACTCTGAATTTTTATAAAAATGAAATTACAGGCATTTTACATACAAAAGCAGCCATATATTATCTAAATGCAGGCATTTTAAAAGCAACATTGTCTTGTAAATACAAAAAATTCCAGTAAAAAAAATTAAACTGCATTTTATTATCTTTTAAGTTCTGTAATGATTAATCATAGATGCACGATGAACCAAAATGTTCCAAACAGAATCCAACATTAGTGACTGAGGAAGCAATATTGACCTTAAACTACTGACACTACTGTCTGAAATATTTGGCACATAACCAATATTAGTCCAAAATTGGAGTTTGGCAAGAAATTACATGTGATGTTGGTCCGTAACTATTTGTCAGGAAACCACTGAATGAGTCTTTATATTCCTGTACTGTTATGCATTGTGGATTGCATCTTGGGATAGACGTGCAGACAGCAATGGGGTGAAGCTTGGAATAAAATCTAATCTCTTAAGATATTGACATAAAAATGATTTATATCAGTTGTACAAAAAACAGAAGAATAACTGCATGCATGTCACCATACAAGCCACTGCGGGACGGAAAAGCAGACCCATCCATTCCAGCCAGTTTGACAGGTGGCAGTTGGTGACACAGATGTCAGCAAGAACCAGCAATCAAAAACAACAATGGGGGGGCAATTGAATTGAAGGCTTCATCTGAAGGTTTGTTCCCTGATTTCTGAAATACTAGAAGCAAAGCAGGGCGGTGGGGGCATGAAGGACTGGAGAGGGTGTAACCCGGGTAACCCAGGAGAGGTGTAACCCGGGTAACCCAGGTAACCCAGGAGAGGGTGTAATTCGGGTAACCCAGGAGAGGGTGTAACCCGGGTAACCCAGGAGAGGGTATAATCCGGGTAACCCAGGAGAGGGTGTAACCCGGGTAACCCAGGAGAGGGTGTAACCCGGGTAACCCAGGCCACGGAATCCTATTCCTCACTGCGGACAGTGAGCTTCTCCGCTTCGGGGGTCTCACTATGCTCCGGCGGTATCTGGGGCTTTGAGCGTAACGGCCATCCCTTGGTCTTCACAAAAATCACGGCATCCGCCAGAAACAGGACACAAGCTATGAACCCAAAAGCCTAAAAAAAACACACACTCACTTCAGAGAGTATTCATAATATGCAAGCCTGAATTATCGGTCACAGGATAAAGATCTACTTCACACTGATCAGGCCGAAAGATATAATCTCCTCCTCCTCATGGTTGGACATGCCCGCAACACCTCCCCAGGAGGCATCCTACACAGATGCCCCGAACCACTTCAACTGACTCCTTTTAATGTGGAGGAACAGTGGCTCCTCCTGAATATCTGAGCTCCTCACCCTGTCTCCAAGGCTGAGCCCAGACACCCTGCGGAGGAAGCTAATTTTGGCCAGTTGTATCCACCATCTTATTCTTTTGATCACAAGCCAAAGCTTATGACCACAGGTGAGGGTGGGAATGTAGATCGACAGGTAAATCCAAAGCTTTGCCTCCCGGCTCAGCTCCCTCTTCACCGCGACAGAGCAGTACAGCGTCCGCATTGCTGATGATGCTGCACCGTTCTGCCTGTCGATCTCACGCTCCCTTCAGCCTCAACAGGCAGTGGCATTTATGAAATAATTCCATTTTCTTCCACTGTCAACATCTGAGGTTTAGAGCCTCATACAAATAAATATCTGTTAACCTATTCCTTCTTTAACTTGAGTATTAATTTTCAGAGCAAGGAACTGTAGCAATCACATCCAGAATAATACATGAACACAGTATATAAATGGCATGATCAACCAATCAGGAATTCATAATGATCAGTAAGAATTTACTTATTAGACTGCAGCACATACCACTGACATTTGCTCCCTTTCAGTCCATCGGTGTAGAAAGGCAAAGACGGTAGAAGCCAGGAAGATGAGGAAGCCGATGGCCACAGTGTATGAGAAATCCTGTGGGAGGGGCTGCTTGTTAATGGCTAATTTAACTTCTGCATCAAGCCTATGCTGTGACCTACACAAGTGGCTCATGATGCTGCCAGCATATATACTCGTGCGCTGGTGTCTTTTCGCGCTGTTATTACGCCTCCAAAACACTAGGTGGCACATAGTTTTCGATGTTTCATTTACTGTCTTCCCACCCTGCGATACATTCAGCTGTTAAATCACGCAAATGAAACATAAAGAAACCAAACATTTAATAAAGCATCCATTTATCGAGTCCTGCTAATATGTGCTACTCCATACTTCCCACAGATAACTTTTGAAAAACTTTCACTTTTTATGCATTTTCCCTTATAAAGTTAGTGTCTATACTACTCCTTATTTTTTTGCTTTATAATGTAGGAATATCATTAAGGGAGGCAACGGAAATTGGCTCTGTGTTGTATAGACCTGTTGGTACGATGCCCAGAGTGGGTTATTTAATGCTAGTTATAAATAGTGCTTCAGTTTCAATCAGTGACAGTAGTAGACTTGGGATCAGGGGCGTTGCTAGAGATTTTGGGCCCCATGAAAGCATATCATATTAGGCCCCCCAGTCCAAACCAATCCAGTTATTTTCCTCATTTTTTAGGGCCCCTGTCACTCAGGGGAATCGTCCTAGCTTTCCTCCCCCTTACGGCGCCCCTGCTTGGGATGTACACTTTCTTCAGTCCCATAAAAAAAGAATGTTACCAAGTGGACCAATGATAGTTCTGCGTCACAAAGATGTATAGTTACATTTCTGGGGAGTTGCACGTCAGGCTACACTCAGAAAAAATTGCAAAAATTTTTACCTTTTCTTGTCACTGGGTCTGCCCTTGTAATTGTACCTTTTCTGTACTTTTTAAGGTACAGAAATGGAATCTGAGGAACATCCCAAAGGTACAAACAGCATTAATGTACCATCAATGGTATAGAAATGTTCCTCAGGGTCCATTTCTGTACCTTAAAAAGCACAATTACCTACAGCTAGGGGTTCAACTGGCCCCAAGGGTTCAGCCCCAGTGACAAGCAAAAGTACAAGTTTGTACCCTTTTTTCTGAGAGTGTACGGTGAAGGCCATGCCATAGGATCCATGGCGACACCGTACTTACGGCATCGATTTGACGCAGAAATATGAATCAGCCTTAAGGATAGGCTGAAGGAAGTCACATGACCTGGGTGTCACAAGCACGGCATTGCGGCACACTCACCAGCTTGGGCCAGTCGGAGACGCCAACCCTGCGGTGGAGGGGTGTAGCGAGAAAGAGGAGAAGCAGGCCGGCGAATAGGAACGCCGCGCAGCTGGCGAACTGAAAGAAGTAGAGTGCTGGGCAGGAGGAACACAGGTAGACTGTCGCTGCCAGGATGAAGGCCAGCAGGGAGAAGAGCTAGGAGACAAAGGTCACATTAGGAGAGGTCACCCTGCTGGCATCCTGCTGGATGGTATCATGCCCCTCTTGCTGCCCTTCTACCTTCTTTCACTCCCCACCTGTGCTGGGACAGAAGTTTAACACTTCATTCAACACACTGAGAGCATAAGAGTAATCGAGAGATAAAGGACCATTTTGCTTGCTGTTGGTAGGTTGTAGTTAACCCATTTTCCTGAAGGAGAGGGACCAGGATGAACAATCGTGAGGACCCGAAGAGCCGAGCGCTGCCTCACAAGAAGACATGCTCTCCGTGGGCCCAGCATTCAAGGACAAGCCAGCTGACATCTGCTTAGTCAGTACAAACTCACATGTGCCAGATCCCCCAGGAGACAGGAACATCAAGCAGACATGTTAGAATGATCAGCTGCTCCTGTTACACGCCTGGAACAGTTCAGAACATGCACAGTAAGGACCACAATGCTGGAAGGACAAGAGCGAGGGAACGCCGGAGGAAGCAGAGACAGGCAGCATCAGTAGGCCGATTTTACAGCATTTGCCCTGTCCCATGCTTTGGGAAGATCACCAAAGCTTTGCTCAAACTACATTGCTTAACAGGCAAGCTTTGCTTTTCATTGACCCCAAAATCATGACTATTCTTTTGAATCTATAGTGAAAAAATAGAGAAAAAAAATGAATTAATATGAATTTTAGCCGATATACCGATAGTGGTCATAAAGACAATAATGATAAAGAATAAAGAGGATAATTATGTAGCGCATTAACCTTTATGAAGTACACCGGACTGGGAGTATAAAGGGGGGGCACTCACCACGGCCGCCACCTTAATGCCAAAGCGCCATTTATCCAGATACTCCGAGGGCACGATGAACCATTTTCCGTTCTTGGGCTCCTGGACCGTCGTGGCGTTATAAACCGGATCCGCTGCTGTCATGGTTGAACTGGGAAAGAATGTTCAATAATTCTTATTACTACTGTAATTTTTTTTTTAAAGCACTGCGTAGCTGTCTACTCTACAAGTAATAACAAATTAATTAAGACCCCATATGCAGATCTTCAAGGTCCGTTGAATGCACGCTTACAGAGAATTTACCACCGGACACGCAACAGGGATGCGTGGAAAAAAGTCAAATTTAACCCGAAAACATTCAGAAAAACCGGGTTTATGTGCACAAAATAAAACAGGTCATCGCTGTTGTAAATACATAAAAGGATGTAATTCCTGGAAAGACACGCCCCTTAAATCTGGGGGGCGGTTTAAAAATATATACAATAGCGACATTCCGTATGTGTGACCGGGTTCCAGCACACCCACCTGAGACAAGACTTCAAGCTAACAGACCTGCTGTGTATAGTTAAAGCCCGAAGATGCGCCAATGTTACATCCGCCCCCCCGCCCCCCCCCTCCAACGGTACCCCGGCATTCGTAAAAGTCTATTTCTAATAGGTATGTACAACACAGTACAGAGAGGGACCACTGCAACGTGTAAGCTAGTGGGACTGCTGTTTGCTTAGCCCAGGCTGCCCCTCTCCCGATGGGAACGCCCGCTTACTCTCCGGGTTTCGTAACAGTTCAGCCCCCCACCCCGCCACATGTTTATAAAATGTCGTTTCCGTGCATTGTGACCAGAGACGGAATTCTTTTTGGTTCTCGAATGTCTTGTTTTTATGTCGTTAAACTTAATTTTAAATTATATTCACTGTGGTGATTCTTTGGGGAAAAAAATTATTCACGAAGGACGCAAATCTAAATGTGACCCCCGCCCCGCTTTGAGACTCAAATGTTAAAATTGGAACTTTGCCATCTTGCATTAGACTCCACCCTTCCCTCATTGAGTCTGGTTCCTCCCAAGGTTTCTTCCTTCTAGGGAGTTTTTCCTTGCCACTGTCACCTCTGGCTTACTCACTGGGGACAATGGGCAGGGATAATGTAAAGTGTTTGATACAATGAGATTTTGTGAAAATGTGCCACACAGATAAAATTGAATAGTGCTAGAACTATTCATGGGCAGCACATCGTGTTGGAGCTGTACAGGTGAATGAAAGTAGTGTAAATAGTTCAGTGTAATTGTCATGTCTTTTGTTGTTATTGTGTAGTGTAATAATGTCACGTGTAGCATTAATTGTCGTAAATAGGGGTGTGTGTGTGTGCCCACCGTGTGTGGTGTGGGCACTGGGGGCGACCCCCATGGTGGGCAGTGTGTGTGGTGTGGGCACTGGGGGCGACCCCCGTAGTGAGCAGTGTGTGACTGTATTGTTAGGAGTGAATGGCACAGGTGCAATAAATGCTACTTTGTGGCTGAATAAACAATGTAAACCAACATCACAAGGCAGGTAATAACATTATTATAATGGAATCTGCACTTTACATGAATCCTACTACATAAGTGTTGCTTGTTTTCACTGCAATATTGCACATGTATTGTCTGTTTTTTAATATGCTATTAGATGTTGTTTACAGTGGGTGTGGCTGAAAGAGTGAGCACTCCTATGGCCAATAGGGAGACTAACCATGTGGAAACACAAATCTGCCACCCAGTTGATAATGGGCCACAGTATGGGCAGCTGTAATCCGCCTGGGGCGGGGGGGGGGGGTACCATTATACTGAGGCTGCTCATAGATCACAGACACTTCCATGTGTATCCGCATCAGGTGGGTGCGGAGTCACTGCCAGCTCTCCCACCAAGGTAGAGAAATACATCCATTTATCCACTTTTTCAATTTGGAAAATTACCTGGATTTGTCTGGATTTGCTATGTGCATGTTAGCATGTATTTGTCCAGGTGTTAATTAACTTCACAGGTGGACATTTCAGTTCAAGAAAGTAAAAATACAGACTAAGATTTTGTTTCAACCAACCAGGTGTGTATAAAAAGTCACAGTCACAGAGAACTTAGCTAATTGGTTGAAGTAAAATCTTAGGCTGGATTTTCACTTTCTACATTCTACATTGCACAATGTTCACCTTCTGACCTTTTGCGCTCCAGATCAATGGGGAACCCATGCTAAAAAGGTAATACGTAGAATAAATGAATCAATGATAAAAATTAAGAATATCCCCCCCCCCCCCCTAGCGAAATCTAGGTGACAATAGTGAAAGCTGCAAACAGGCTGTATTCCCTTTGGTCATAAGAACATAAGAACATAAGAAATTTACAAACGAGAGGAGGCCATTCGGCCCATCAAGCTCGTTTGGGGAGAACTTAACTAATAGCTCAGAGTTGTTAAAATCTTATCTAGCTCTGATTTAAAGGAACCCATGGTTTTAGCTTCCGCTACACTAGCAGGAAGACTATTCCATACTCTAACTACACGCTGTGTAAATAAGTGCTTCCTCAAATTTGTTTTAAAATGTTCTCCCGCTAATTTCCACTTATGGCCACGAGTTCTAGTATTTAGACTAATATTGAAATAGTCATTTGGCTGAACAGCATCCAGACCCGTTAGAATCTTAATCACTGTAACAAGCAGCCGTGTCTACATCACCGTTTATCGTGGAGCAGCACCTCACTTTCTTTAATAAAACAATTACTTTTCGAAAAACAATATTTCCGGAAAAAAACATGAACGATCTTTCATTAGACCGTAGTCGTACTTGCCGCTCATTCCCTCCGTTGCGCATATTACAGTGCAGGACGCATTCCATTTTCTGAGACGCAGAATTCGGCCGCTAGAGGACGCCGTCGCAGCGTGGCAAATACTGTTCTTTTCCCTTTTAGGAGAAGCAGCGTTACAAAGTGCAGGAAACCGCTTGCGGAACCTGAGGCACTTGGTCGTCGTCCGAATAGAGCGAGCGAAACTCCGTCTACCTTTCAGGTGGGCTCGCTACCCCGCAGCAGCAGCCATGAAATAACCATGGGCTCTCTGCTTGGAGCATTAGTCCTTCTAACCCAAGTTGACTAAAATCCCACCCTTTAAATAAGCAAGTTTTAACAGTCATACCGGCTCAGGAATATTATTTTATGTTTACGAAAGGTGAGTGTATTTCTATTACTACGCATGCTACTCTAAAGGTGTACAAAAAGTCGGTTGTGTTCCTATCATTGATTGAATGAAGGTATAGAATCGTTTTTTAAAATGTTCATCTTAGTCAGTAGTTTAAATGATTACAATTTAAAAGTGTCTAATTATGTTGAACATGCATTGTGGATTAAATCTAGATATTTTGTTGCTAATGAAACGTTTTGATAAAAGCATTTTTTTTTTGGCAGATTACACGACTGAATGCTTATTTCCTTGACGCTGAATTGCATGCATAATACACAGTACACTTTCACTGGTCGTTGAGATTTTATAGAGTAGAAGGTGCTTTTAAAGTGGTTTTCCACAAAATCATATAAACTAGGTATGATCTAATAGACGGAAATATATCATTCATAACGCAGTTTGAAGCTTTATTGTAGGATTTATTTGGCTATATAGTAATCACATGAAAATTACATAAACGAATACATACATTCCCAATCAATCTACCTTTGAGCTTGGTGTAGTTTGAGATCAATTTCGTGTCAATTACGGTAAAGTCCCTTTAAATCAAAGTTGGGTAAGGAAAACCCCTTAATTAATGAAAAATGCCACTGCATATTCGCTGAGTTAACGACGAAAACGGCAATTTCCATTATGAATGCGAATTCCTTGTGAGATAACACGGTGATTCATCATTATTGGTATTGACGCCAATTTTTCGTGAGTTAACGGAAACAGTCATTTATCGCTCACTGTAAGGATGCTAAATCCGTTTAAGCTAAGAGGAGAAAATAATTTTCTAGTATAAACAAGGGTGCCAATTTTCTGTGAGATAATAGCGAAAATAATTTTCCACTATTAATACTAATTACAGTTATCTTCGGTGATTTAACAGAAGAATGAATAGATTCAGCTTTGTGGAAAACAGAAAAAAGTTTTCAGTTCAGGACACGTAACTACCAGAAATAAGCACGCCTGTACCAGCTGCCATTTCTGAATTTGTTTGCTTGATGGACACGTTGTCCTAGTTTCACACATTATTCTTCTCTCCAGTCGAAGGGCTTTATCACCTCGTGGCCAGATTCGGGCTGCTGTGCTGTGCCTGTGTGGGGACGGCGGGCTCGTGAGAAAAGGGCCGATGGTTCCTTCCATCACCAAAAGGGGGCGAACAAGTTGCACTAGCATTGCTCGGTTTAACGTTGCGCTCATATTAAGGGGACATTCCCTGGACCCTGGATGTAAGGATGTGCTGCTGTTGCAGCCTCATCTGGCGTGAGGAGGGCTCGTTTAATTTCATTACGCAGTTTTCTTCATTGTGGGATTTAAACGAGAGCTCGCTGACAATCTGCCTTACCTCCTTCACATGAATTACAGTGTTGCATCAGAGTCCTGTGAATTTACAGTAAAAAAACAACTTTATGAAACAACGGGAATGGGATGGACTACATGCACATCAAGTTACTCAGACCTTCCCCAAATATTGTATAATAAACAAAATGAATGTGAGTAAAACAATTCATGCAATTAATTTCTAAGAACCTTAATTACATAACTCGGAAAGCATGCGGCACACATTTTGTAGGGAGGTAGAGAGTGTTCCTAGATTCAGTTTTAATCCTGTCGTTATGTCTGCAGGTCATGTTTTGTTTTCACTACAGTGTAAGTGGTACATCTGCAGGGTTGGCAACTCTCACGCATCTGGCGTGACACTCGCGATTTCAGACTCACACATCTGGCGTGACACTAGCGATTTCAGACTCACGCATCTGGCGTGACACTCGCGATTTCAGACTCACGCATCTGGCGTGACACTAGTGATTTCAGACTCTCACGCTCACACAAGAAATCTTTCAGCAAATCTGTATTATTCCATTATAAACCTAAAATTAGCTACATCAAAACCATTGGGGTAGTTTGCGAAGCCTACAGACTATTTACAAGGTAATAAAACTGTTACATCCATGTAAATATGTGTGCATGCGAACGCAGGTTTGTCGTTACATCCATGTAAATATGTGTGCATGCGAGCGCAGGTTTGTCGTTTCATCCATGTAAATATGTGTGAATGCGAGTGCAGGTTTGTCGTTACATCCGTGTAAATATGTGTGCATGCGAGCGCAGGTTTGTCGTTACATCCGTGTAAATATGTGTGCATGCGAGCGCAGGTTTGTCTTGAATTGAAGGCCTCATGCCAGATGCCTGCATCTGTTTCTTTACTGGTAAACTCCTCTCCATTCTCTGCTGACAGTTGTGTAATACTAACTAGCAGTTTTTCCAGAACTATTCCAGGCTGAGCTGTGTCGGTATGGCATTCCAGCGTCACTGCTCTTGGGCTTGTCAGTCATTATCCGCACATCCTTGGGAAGGACCACCTGACAGTCTGCAGTTTTGAACAGGAGCGATACACTGTTCCTTTGCTGAGGCACACATGCTGTGTCCGGCCCCTGACACGATGAGCCACACCGCTAGATCAAGTGGAAGCAGGGATCCATCTTTATTTCTGTAGTCTATGGGAATAACTGGTAAACAGAATATACACACCAAACAGCAAATGGTGTTAGTGCAGCTCAACCCTCTCCAGGGTCAGGGGTCTAATTTCGTCTCAGGAGCAGATGGGGACACGGAGGGCCGGTGGCGTTTGCCGTGACTGCAGGCCAGCGGGTCGGTCCTGTGAGAACCTTTAGCCGCTGGTCAGCAGCAGGTGTGAGGTGAATAAGTAATGAGATGCGAGGCCCAGGGGGGACGTGACTCTCAGCGCTGCCATGCTGGGTGATCTGTGGTTGGGTTTCTGCCACATCACTGAGTCAATGCAATGGTTGGTAATTCTACTTATTTACTTTGTGTCTTATCTAGCTGTTACTGTCAATGGCCATTTTCCTGAGAGGTGTCTCCTCTGACAGGTCACTACTCGAATTTGACTTTTTGACTATTACTTCAGTTTTCATTCTGATTGGCTGTTACTATGTATTCATTTAACTCTGAATGACTTGTTCCTCTGAAGGGTTTTTAATAGGAAATGAACCAGCAGCAGAAAGGTCAAAAGCTCACATCTGTCAATAAACTGTCAATAGTCTTGGCTTAAACAACATCAAAGCATGAATAATGAACTTTCCTCTATCTGTGTGCTCATTTGGAGACTCGCAGTACTGGTAGTTCCCGGGTTAAGGATGCCTGAGTTACAGACAACTTGTACTTCTCAACAGACTAAGCTATTATATAAAAAATTGGGTTAAATACGACGGCTCATAACAACGAACATTGCACAGCTTCAGCAATTTGTGTAGTACAGTGCTGCATGTAGTTATTTTTATTATTACGGTATAATAATAATCATTATTATTTGTTGTACTTTTATTATTTTTCCAACTTACCTACAAATTTGACTTGAAGAAAAATTTAGGGAACCGGTGTGGTTCCTAACCTGGGGACTGGCTGCATAAACGGTGGAGTGCTGGTTCTGCTTAGTATCTGTCACTGTCCTGATGTTTGATGCTCATCATGAAAGCCTGAGAGATGCAGCCCTGTCACACTTGATGATTGAGGAGACCTGCTTTTCTCCCACCTTCATTTCATCGTTTTCCATTTTCAGTGAAGAACTTTTTGTAGGTCCTTCAGAATTGGACCTGTTTAATATGCCATTCATAAGTCATTCAATCCTGAGTTGTGCACTGCAGAAGAATGTGTCTTTGTCTTTTGCTAAATGAGTTACTTTCAGTTTCCCCCATTTTATCCTTGCCAGTGTGAGACTGGGCAGCAGCTCCCAAGTGTTACAGTGCCCCTGATGTCTGTGACGGGGCTTTATAGCCACATGTCAGCGTGGATGCCAGTGTGAGACCGGGCAGCAGCTACCAAGTGTTACAGTGCCCCTGATATCTGTGANTCTGTGACGGGGCTTTATAGCCACATGTCAGCGTGGATGCCAGTGTGAGACCGGGCAGCAGCTACCAAGTGTTACAGTGCCCCTGATATCTGTGACGGGGCTTTATAGCCACATGTCAGCGTGGATGCCAGTGTGAGACTGGGCAGCAGCTACCAAGTGTTACACTGCCCCTGATATCTGTGACGGGGCTTTATAGCCACATGTCAGCGTGGATGCCAGTGTGAGACTGGTCAGATGAAGGCTACCCCACTCCACCTGTTGGTACCTTCTGGAAGATCCCTCACCTCATTGCTCCTCCTGTCTCCTTTCTTCATCGAAGAATAGTCGGAGCTGTGCCGCTTCCCTGAACACACGTCTCCCAAATGTGTTACTTCCTTAGGGGATACAGAGGCACCAGCTGTGGGGATTCAGCTCTCACAGCGCGAGTCACCTGAGAACTCACACTGGTCCCGCCAAAACTCCCCACAGCGCAGACAAATCGCTTCTTTTTTTAAGTGCTAGAAACAATTAGGATGCATTTCAAACCACCCTGGCGCCAGGTAGCGACAATGAGCTGAACTCCAAATGCTGGTGGGGTCTAGCAGATGGTGTTTCTGTCCAGAAGGTCACCACTTTCATCCAATGGCTGCCAGATTTAGGGCTGCAGCGATGTCTCTCAGCCTTGTCTCCACATCTCTGTTCCTCTGTTCTGTTGCTCATGACCATGTCTGGAGGGAGTTGGTCCAAACAGCTTCATTGTGGGCACCTATCCTACCATCCCAGTGGAGGTAGTGGTGGCGGAGGGGGGGTCCAGACGGCTGTGGCTCTTGGTCATGTGCTGTGTGTGTGAGATTGTGGCCTCCTGTAGGGTCATTCACCCCCCATTAGGCCAGTGGACCTCCAGAAGGTCCATGTTTTTGCTGCAGGAGCTGGGAGGAGCAATGTGGACTCTCTGGCAGGGAGCTCGGAGGGAGCAAAAACATGGACCAACGGTGGGACTGTGGACATGGACTGTGGACCGACTGTGGGACTGACTGTGGGTCTGACTTTGGGTCCCCAAGGACCGGACTGGGAAACACTGCATTAGGCAACATAGACTGTAGTTGCGCACTGCCTGAGACTAAATGAAATTGGGCGGTGAAGCTTCCCTGGGGGCGGGGGGGGCACTGGCACGGAAGCTTGCCTGGGGCGTCACATGGGCTGTGACTCGTACTGGCCTTCTGGAACCTTAAAAGAGAGCATGAGGCCATAAGCAGCAGGATAGTTGAGGGGGTTCACAGCTATATTTACAGTGTCAGCATACAGCCATCTTCCTGCCAGAGGGGCGCAGTGAGCCACAGCTGGGTGGTGACCCATCTTTGTGGGGCTCTTCACGACACAGAATCCCTGCGAGGACCTGAAGACTCCTGTATGCAGAGACACTGCTTTTTGATGGCAGTGTCTGATGCAGACCCCCTGAACCAGTCCTCACACACTGCATTCCCACTGCCCCCATATACACTGAAGTGTTTCTGGTAATGAACAGACCCATACTAGTGATTTAATTTTCCGATGTGCCTCTGAGCGAAACTTGATTCTAGCTCTGTAACACAATCAAGCGTTTCTCAGATGGCTTTTTCCAAGGCCAACCCCAGCCAACTGGAGACTGGAGGATTGTGATTAAGTTTGAATTATTATTGTATTGACAGCTGAAGATACTTACTGTGAATGGACAAAGAGCTGAGTGTGAAAGCCAGCTCACCTGTGGGATCCCCTCCCTGAGAGAATGTCACTTTAGCTGCTTGTGTAGGTCGACACTCAATGTGCCTGTTTATATGAACTGAAACATTTTAGGTCATGTTGGTATTGTTAGTGCTATATGCGCTCTCCTGTCCCTGAGTACATTGTGTGTCACACTGTGCAGTCCATGTGAAATCTTAACTCTGTGTATGCGCACTCCTCCCCCTGTGTATGCGCAGTCCTCACCCTGTGTATGCGCAGTTCTCCCCCTGTGTATGCGCAGTCCTCCCCCTGTGTATGCGCAGTCCTCCCCCTGTGTATGCGCAGTCCTCCCCCTGTGTATGCGCAGTCCTCCCCCCGTGTATGCGCAGTCCTCACCCGGTGTGTGTCACTCTCAGCAGGGCCAGCGTCACAGGCATCATGAGCAACATCTACGAGTCGGCAGCCAGCACTCTGGGCCTTTTCAGCAGCCCGTGCCTGACCAAGGTGGAGCTGCGTGTGGCCTGCAAGGGCATCTCAGACCGGGACGCGCTGTCCAAACCGGACCCCTGTGTGGTACTTAAGATGCAGTCGCACGGCCAATGGCTGGAGGTAGGTGGCTCACTCTGATGGTCCTCTGTCGTTTTCTCTCTTTTGTGACATAAATGCCTCTGTGACATCATTCCCATTGTGTCATCGTTCTCACAGCTCCATCACATGACAGCTTTCTGACAGCCGAATGACATCCCCACAAAGGTTTCATTATAGGAAATCCCATTTTAAACCTAAAGGTCAGTTTAGAGCTGAGAAGACTAGAGGCTTTGTGGTGGACAATCTTCAGGATGGGGAAGGGGGCACAGAGCCATCTGTGTCCTGTAGGGGCTGAGGACAGGGGGCTGGGGAGGGGGTCTAATGGAAGCAGGAGACTGTTACCATAGCGACATTCTGCCTGCTTACTGGCTGGCGGAGAGTGGGCTGTGTGCACCTGTCCTGGCCGGTTTCTACACATGAGCAGGCTGGTGTTGCGTGATACTGTGTAACTGGGACAGTTGAGGCTGAGCACCACGAGCAAGCCAGTAAAGGAACCAGAATTCCTTGCTTCCTCCCAAGGCAGCAACAGGCTGGCTGCCACCACAAACTCTCAGTTCTAATGAACTGCCTTTTTGCCTAATGACAAACTGAAAAAATTCACCTTCTTCATGAAGCTCAGGCTCCTGGTATGAAGCAGTGAAGGACATCAATGAGTCTCTGAGTTCCATTTGTGTAGCTTCCCTGACACCCATATCCCTGAGTCTGCCTGTACATGTCCCTCCTCCTCCTCCTCCTCACCTGCAACTGCAATGAAGGGAAGCTGGTTTGGTGTTAAGGAACCTGCTGCACATATGACTGTAACCAAACAGAGTCCAGCGGGAATGAATGTCAGGCCTTTCACTTCAAAATAACATGCAGTGACGGCGCTCTGTCAAAACAGAGCCGTAGAACATCACTGGACCAGCTCACACTTCACTGGAGCAAGAACACAAATAACAGCTGGAGACAGTGGTGTGTCAAAGCAGAGATGTACAGTAGAGTATCTTTAGAGGAGCATATCTGAGGTTCAGAAAAGAAACTCAAAG